AAGGTGTATCGTATGAACACACAACCAAGTTAACTGAGAACTACCCATCCCAAGGTTAAAATTGTGGGTTTTTTGTAACGAAAGAAACTCCAACTTCTAGGCTCGAAGGGGGTAACGAGGGATTAACTTCCTTATTTCTCCAGTGTTTGGAAATTGAAACAATGCCTTACATCGTCAACAAGGTTTGATTGAAAGCATACTGATAGCAATTATGGGTATAACGTTTTCGTCATCCTCCCTCCGATCTTAGCATATCAAAATTTTGGACAAGAAGTAAACATTTGAAAAATAAAGCATAAAGATGCAAATAAATGGACGGAAATGAATTGAATCAAAAGTCGCAATGCTTATTTCATTAATGAAAGTACAAACATAATTAAAAGCAAACAACTTAAACAAAATAAGGAAAGTGCAAACAACGAGAAACAAAAGGCCTAGTGACAAAACTTCATTTCTGATGTACTGGCAAGGGATTTTTCTGAACATCCGGATGACTGTCTGTAAAATCAAGTATTCCAGTTCTAACCAATTCACATACTCTAGCCTTCAATGCAAAACAATGCTCCAAGTCATGGCCTGGGGCACCCTCATGGGAAGCACAATGGAGATCAGCCCTAAATCCAGCCGGAGGATTAAGAGGAGGTGGTAAAGCCTTTGTAGTAATCAGTCCTTGCCGGACTAAGTCAGGATATAGCTCTGTTTAAGTCATGAGAATAGGATCAAAGTGACTCCTGTTCCGTTTCTGGTCTGATATCTGTGTCGAGGAATCAGCTTGACGACTCAAAGGTACACTAGAAGACGATAGGACCAAGAAGGAGAAACTGGGAGATAAATGCAATGCAAAAATGTGATGCTAATGCCATGCAATGGTCTCAAGAATTTCAACGGTCGATTGCAAACATTCCCTTTTAGGAAAGCGAGAAAAGCTGTTAGACTTTAAAATGTAGGACTTCTTGAATTTGCAAAGGACTTTTGAATTCCTTGAAACTAGAAATGATATGATGCTTTATGGATGCAAAGCACAAACGCACATAAGCAAACAAAGGTCCTAATTTTAGAGGAACAATGAATGGAGTCAAGGTCTACCCTTCCCAAAGTGGTGTGTACTATAGGTTAATTGTACCTGCAGAACAAGGGTTCTAAAAAGTGCCCAAAGTCATCAGTCCATCTTTCGGATATTATCGACTTCCCGATTGACTCGAGGGTCAATAATATTCTCAAGAGAACCTCTTTTGAGTGTAGCATCGCGTAGCAACCATTGTAGGACTACTCCCACATAGTTCCCGCACTACGTCCTATATAAGGCCAAGATGGTGTAAAGGTACTACGGTTCCCAGTATCACAGACTCCAATCGATAACGGTAAAAGTTTTCACGACTACACTCGATAAACCGAACCATTTTCGAAAGGGTCTCAACTGAGCGGTGATTCTCGATTTAGCTTAGTCGGGACTCACTCCCTATAAGCCTCGTCGAATATATCGTCATCCTATAATAATGTCACTCAAGTCCGGGTGTAGGACTTATCTCACAACAAAGTATCCCAAGCAAGGTACCCCTGAACAATATATATACAAATGAGCAAAAATATTAATGAAACAAATATATAATGAAAAATAAACAAAATGGGGATAACCCTCAAAAGTTAAGACTCCCCAGTGAAGTCGCCATTTTCTGTTGCGGTGAAATTTGGATGTCAAGCTATTGATTAACTTGAATCTTAATTCATTTACAACCGGTCTTTGATTTATCCGAAGGAAAGGTTAAAGAAAGGAAAAACCTAAAGGGGAGAGATCTAAGGTTCGGGGGTTGGTTAAGATTAGGGAAGGTATTAGCACCCTAAACTTCCGTAGTACTCTACGGGAACCTTTTGTTTATTTTTTTCATTAATTATTTTGCTTTAGGGTATATACAAAGGATTGAAAATTAAAAAAGACCTAGGGGTTAATTCTAAGTTTACTCGGCAAGACATCGCATCTTGTGCCTACATATCCTTACGGGAATGGAATCAGAGTAACTGTAGTTCCCCTCAAAAGGGAGGTTAGAGACTTCTTGACTGTGGTCAAGGTCTCAAGGGGAATAAACGCATCTTAAGGACACGCTTACATGGAGTCTTAAACTCCGATCTCTATGTTATAAATTGTTAAGTGCATTAGGGTTAGGTTAGGGATTCCGCGGCGGGAAACCCTAAAATGAGTGCGGCGACTCTTTGACCTAAAGCTAGGGGTAGTTTTGTAATTTTGTCCACGGCGAGACATTTGTGAAAAGTTAGGGTTTGTAAGGGTTTGAAGTTTTGAGGACTATTGGCGCGGCGGCCAAACGGCTAGACCTAATCCTTCGGAGGAATGCAATGGGACAAATTAACGATGCAAATGCGAGAATTTAAACCATACAAACAGCAGAAATTAAAGTGCGGAAAGGTAAACGCGATAATTTGTTCGCGAAGTTACAAATGAGAAACAGATACAATTATAATACAACTTGAATTGAAAAACACATTAAAATAGCTAATAGCAACGTAACAAGCTGCACATTGAATACACAAGGTTAGTAGACAGAGTCAGACAGTAATCAGACGAGTTATGAAACGGAAGTGCGAAAGTTATAGATATTCTTTGTTGTTTATTTGTGATATATAAAAAAGCTTTTGATTTAAGTTAAAAAAGAGGTTTTAATATTATTAAAAAAAACTTTTCAAAAATAGTCTTAATTTAATTATCTAACAAAAAGGTTTTATTTTAAAAAAAAAAAAGGTTTAATGTTATTATTATATATTTTTTTTAAAAACGGTTCTAGTTATTATTTTAAAAAAAGATTTTAGTTATTATTTTAAATTTATCTAAAAAAAAAAATTTTTCTTAAAAATAATAGGTTTTCATATTAATTTGGAAAAGATGTTAATGTTATTTATTTTAAAAAACAGATTTTTATATTATAACAAGTTTTAATAAATTAATGATAACAATAATAATAATAGTAATAACAATAATAATAATGATAATAATAATAAATAATGATAATAATAATAATACTAATAATAATAATAATAAATAATGATAATAATAATACTAATAATAATAATAATAAAGCAATAATGAATTTTAAATGTGCCAAATAACCCAACAATGTTGCTAACGCAGAAATGCGCTCAGCGCAACCAGATCTAAATCGGGCGAAACAAAATTTATCGCAAAGAAAAAGAAATTAAGCAAAAAAACAGTATTATTGCTCACACAAAAATGCGATCATCGCAACCAGATCGAACTAACACAAATGTCACGCGTCATGCACACAAATGTGCAAACATCGTATCGATATAATTCGATCAAAAATTAATCTTATATATATATAAACTCTAACAATTTAAAAATTATAAATATATAAACGTAACAGTAATAGATGAAGAAAAAGAAATAACGGTAATAGATGAAGAAAAAGAAATAACGGTAAAAGATGAAGAAAAAGAAACAACAGTAATAGATGAAGGAAAAAAAATAACGGTAAACGATGAAGAAAAAGAAACAACAGTAATAGATGAAGAAAAAGAAATAACGGTAAACGACACTCACTCCTCTTAGGTTTTTTTTTCATTCTCCCATTTTTCAACAAAGCAACACATGTATATATAGGGAACAAATTAGGGTTAACACCAAATTGTCAATAATGTCTCTAAAGCCCATTTTAAAGCCCAAATTTAAATAATTTAAAATAAACTTAAAATAAAAACTAATAATCCTATTGATTCCTAAAATCAAAAATATTATAAAAAGAACAAAAATTTTTTCAATATTTTTTATTTTATGATTTTTTTGGATATTTTTATGAATAATTTAGAAAAAAGTGAAAAAAATAATATTTTAAAAAATGATTTAATTAAAATAAGAAAATAATAATTAAATAATAATAAAAAACTATTTTTGTTATTTTTTAATGAAAGATAGAAAAATTTAGAGTAAAAATAATAAAAAACAAAAAAGTGACAAAGGTGAGATTTGAACTCTCAACCTCTCACACTCACAACTCCTTACACATGTCCTCTTGCCAATTGTGCTATTTTCACTTTTTATAAAAAAAATGCATGTCATATGATATTTACCTGCAAAAAAGTCAAACGACTATACAAATTTGTTAGTAATTGATTAAATGCAAGAAAAATGCAATGAAATGCGACGACAAATCTTAGGGCAAAATTTGGGGTATTACAAGGCCCTCACGAAGGTCAAAAGATGATTCAAGAGTAAAAACACTTCGATCTCTACGAGTCTTCGTACTTAAGAGACTATGTAGTGGCATAATTAAGAGAGACCTTGGAGATAGGGCGAGTGACATACGTCTAGTCTTTCGTCCTTCCCCAGTATCTCTTTTATTAGTCTGAGCGCCCTTCATTTGATTTGATCATCTCACCCCATCTTTCTGTCTCTCCGTCCATAAGGTGTGATCGTGTATGAAGCGTATACCGGATCAACAATCATATATATATATATATATATATATATATATATATATATATATATATATATATATATATATATATATATATATATATAAATTTTTAAAAGAGTAATTTTACAATTTAAATTTAATTATTTATTAAATTTAAACCATCTACTATTATTATCATTTACTATCAATGATACAAGAGTCATAGCCTGTGAGGGGAGATGCTGCTCCCAATTCCCACACAAGGCATGAACAAAGGTTCTATTGAAATATAGGTAATGGTAACCTAGTCCTCTCTGGCAAAATACATCTTCCTTGAAACTTAAGGTGGGAACTGATTCCAATATGATTGATAAAGTTCAAATTAAAGGAATCACCCTTTAAACTTATAAATCTTATATAAACATCTCTTCCTTCACTTGAAAGTTTAAGACAATGGATCATATTATTCTCCCCTCAACTTCTTCACCTTTATAAATCTACCAATTCAATTCAAATCAAACCAAACCTTTCATCACTATCAACATTTTCCCTCCTTATAACCTCCATTTCATAAATAACATGGTTTTGCACTTGCTGCATGGGAAGCTTGATGTCACTATATATGAGGTTGATTCATTACAAACACTTCGAGCATTCAGTTTCGATATCGGCAACAAGGGAACATATACAAGCATGGGGAAGAAAATTCTGTCACAGCTCAAAAATTGCATTATGTGTCAATGCCAATTCCAACCAGAGGTATGTTACATCTTCACAATTATCTTATTAACTTTTTGACTATATCATATATATCATATGTACCGTAAAACATGCATTGAAGCAATGTTATCAACAATAATAGATGGATAAATGAAGGTCAAATACTATGATATATGCAGCGGTATCGTTGTGTTATGTTTTTGACATCGGTGATAAAGTATCAGTATCATGTCGTGTCTAGGTGTTTGCATCTGAGTCCATCGTTTTGAAATAAATCCATGGTAACATCTAATAAAATATAAAACATTTGACAGAATATTATTGGGATGGGTCTATATGCAACAGTTGATTTGGACAAAGCAAGAGTTGGAAGAACTAGGATGATAAATAACCAACCCTTCAACCCTAAATGGAATGAAAACTTTCATATTTACTCAGCTCATTCAATCTCCAATGTTATATTCACTGTCAAACAAGATAACCCCATTGGTGCAACTCTAATTGGAAGAGCTTATGTTCCAGTTGAGCAACTCATAAATGGAAACACAGTAAACACATGGGCTCAAATACTAGATGTGAATCAAAAGCCTATACAAGGTGGTTCCAAAATCCATGTTCAAATCAAATTCTCACAGGTTAAGAATGATCCAAACTGGTCACAAGGACTAAAGAGTCCAACATTTCAAGGGGTTCCTCACACTTTCTTTAAGCAAAATAATGGCTGTCAAATCACTCTTTACCAAGATGCACATGTTCTAGATGGTTCTCTTCCGTCTATTACGTTAGACGGTGGAGAACGCTATGTGCCGGGAAAATGTTGGGAAGATGTTTACAATGCTATAAATGATGCTAAGCATTTTATTTGCATAACTGGTTGGTCTGTTTACACTGAAATTACATTGATTAGAGATCGAAACAAGTCATCGAGAACAAGCATCACACTCGGAGAGCTTCTCAAGAAGAAAGCTAATGAAGGTGTTAATGTTCTTATGCTTGTTTGGGATGACAGAACTTCTGTTCCAGATTTTAAGAAAGATGGTTTGATGGCAACTCATGATCAAGAAACGAATGAGTATTTCAGAAACACAAATGTGCATTGTGTTTTGTGTCCGCGGAACCCCGGTGTTGGAAGAAGTATAGTTCAAGGCTTTGAAACTTCAACAATGTTCACTCATCATCAGAAGACTATAATTGTTGACAGTAGAGTTGTTGGTTCTGCACAATGGAATAAGAGAGCAATCACTAGTTTTGTTGGTGGGATTGATCTTTGTGATGGAAGATATGATACTATGGAACATCCTTTGTTTTCAACTTTGAATACAGTTCATCATGATGATTTTCATCAACCGAATTTTCCCGGTGCTTCGATTAAGAAAGGTGGTCCGAGAGAGCCGTGGCATGATATTCACTGTAAGCTGGAAGGACCTGTTGCATGGGATGTGTTGTGCAATTTTGAGCAAAGATGGGAGAAGCAAGTTGGGAGGCAATTAGTTCCACTACCTTCAAGCATGCTCGGTGAATATGGTATTACTCGTGTATCGAATGTTGCGACGGGGAATGAAAACAACTCATGGAATGTTCAGTTGTTTAGATCGATCGATGGCGGTGCTGCTTCTGGTTTCCCTCAAGATCCTAGAGAAGCTTGTGAAAAAGGTCTTGTAAGTGGAAAAGATAACATCATTGACAGAAGCATTCAAGACGCCTACATAAACGCTATTCGTCGAGCGAAAAACTTCATCTACATAGAAAATCAGTATTTTCTAGGTAGTTCATATGGTTGGAAATCATCTGATATTAAAGTTGAGGACATCGGTGCTTTGCATCTCATACCAAAGGAGCTCTCATTGAAGATTGTTAGCAAGATTGAAGCAGGAGAGAGATTTTCTGTGTACATTGTAATTCCAATGTGGCCAGAAGGTGTACCTGAAAGTGCTTCTGTTCAAGCTATATTAGATTGGCAAAGAAGAACTTTGGAGATGATGTATTCTGACATAGCTGAAGCTCTTCAAAGAAAAGGAATCAGAGCTAATCCAAGAGATTACTTGACTTTCTTTTGCCTCGGAAATCGAGAGGGGAAGAAAATGAATGAATATAGTCCTATAGAAAGACCAGAACCAGACAGTGATTATATCAGAGCACAAAATTCTAGAAGATTCATGATATATGTTCATGCCAAAATGATGATAGGTAAGAGATTCAACATATACATATCATATCGCTTTTTTTCGATACAATTTTACTACTGACACCAAATTCTGTCCATCAGGTGTCAGTTCAGCTTGTCACCTAACCTGCTAAACTGACACCTTATGGACAGTTTTTTTTACGGTTAACAAACTCTTATGACTTGTTTTTTGTTTTGTTCATTCAGTTGATGATGAGTACATAATCATTGGTTCTGCAAACATAAACCAAAGATCAATGGATGGTGCTAGAGACAGTGAGATTGCAATAGGTGCATTTCAGCCACATCATATAGCAACCAATAATAGGCCACCAAAAGGACAAATCTATGCATTTAGACGTTCGCTATGGTATGAGCACCTTGGAGATATCGGTGACACGAGTTTCTTTGAAAATCCAGAAAGTTTGAACTGCATAAAGCTTGTGAATCGTTTTGCTGAGACCAATTGGGACATATACTCAAGAGATGCATTTGATGAACAGAGAACATTTCATCACCTCATGAGATATCCAATACAAGTAGCTAATAATGGAGCCATAACAACTCTTGCAGAATTTGAATATTTTCCTGATACTAAGGCTAGGATTTTGGGTTCCAAGTCTGAGTATCTTCCTCCAATTCTCACCACTTGATGAAAAGGAGAAAATTGAATGTACATTTACATGAATAATTACCATTACTATTTAATATCAAGTAACAGCTTGTTTATCTTTGAGTTTTTACTAAATTTATCATAGTTGTAGTACTGTAAAATTTGAATGTAACATTAAAGTTCAAAACTATTCAAGGATAATTTAAATGTTGGGCTAAAGAAAAGGACTAAGATAATCTTTGTCGTATCCGGTAGCATAGGTGCTTCTATATGCATGGATGCATTCATGAGGGAAGGTTTACAGGTAAAAAGGCGACGCGAGAGGGAAGAGGTCACACTGGGCTAAGTTAGAAAAAGACATTCAGCAAGCTCTAGCAAAAGTCACTTATCAAGAAGAACTGATGTGATTTCAAAGGTCTAAGATGAAATTTCTAGCAGATGGAGACAAGAATACTAGTTCTATCATGTGAACACTATGTAGAGAAGAAGAAGGAAGCTCATCAATATGATCAAAACAAGTAATGATGACTGGACTGAAGATGCATGGGTTATTAAGAAGTTGTTTGAAGACTAGTACCAAAAGCTTTATAATACTAATGTGGAAGTAGCTGAGTGGCAGCAAATGAAAACAAAGTTTCCAGGGCTAGATAGTTGATGGTGGAGCAACTTAATGAAGACTTAACAACAGAGGAAATCAAGAAAGATGTTTTTGATATGGCCCCTTGGTAATCTCAAGGGCCAGATGGAATCTAGCTAGCTTTTATGAAAATTCTTGGAGCTTAGTTGGGATGGAACTGTGCAACTACATTCAAACTTTGTTGTAGTTTTTTTGGTTGGCTGCATCAGATAAAACAACATATGTACAAGACATATTTTAGCCAATATGCGGAACAAGATTAAGATGTGTCACCATGTATTCCAACATCTAAGTTTATTGTTCAAAACAATTGTTCAACTAAAGTGTTTGACAGATCCGGTTAAACATGAGTTGTTCAACTAAAATGCTTGAGAGAACCAGTTAAGCAAGAGGTTCTAAGATGCAGCTAAAGTGCCTAACATAACTAGTTAAGCAAAAAAGTTCAACATGCGAGTATATATCATCTTGGCATAAATTTGGGTTCTGACAATCTTCATATGTCCTTCAAAAGAATGGTGGTTTTGACTTCTTCAGAATATGAAGAGGTTTGTTTTTAGGAAGAAGTTTGTGTTATCAATCCAATGTCTATCTGAATTTGTTTCAGTCAAAGAAGATTTGATTGAATTTACTTTGAAGGAAGATTTGGTCCATGATTTATTCTACAAAGAAGTTTTATGTTAAGAGAGTTATTTTAAATGTACTTGTGTAACATGTGCAACACGATGTTCCAACATGTGTACTATAACATATGGACTCTGACAGATGTTATTGCAGTTCTGGTATAGAAGAGTGTCTTGCAACATCTGGTCTCTGTAAACAGATGTTATTGTAGTTGTAGTGAAGAAAGGACACATGTGAAACATGATGTTCCAACATGTGTGCAATATCTGACCCTTGTTCAGCAGGTCAATGTTGTTGCATTTTTAGAGCGAATTTCTCAATTGAGATTCAATCAGTTTTGTTGCTTTATTTTAGCAATGCGTTTGTGTGATTTGTTTAACAGCTGTGAAAATCAAATCAGATTTAAATTTGATTTTGAATTAATAACAAATCATATCTTTTGTTGGAGATTTTTATGGAGCAAATCAAATCCAACAATATCTGTTATTATTATGGACGAAATTGCATTTTTATTTAAGGAGACTCAAACCTTATGTTTGAGGTGTGCAAGTTATGAAGATTCCTAGTGTTAGAGTTTGTCTTTTGAGTCTTTATTTGTGCATTACTCTAGCACCTCCTTTCATATATTAAGGTATATAGCTTGGTTTATTTGTAGATCTTTGTTCCAAGATATTAAGTCTATAAGCTTGAAAAAAAAGTGTTTTTGTTTCTTGTACTCCACGATAATGTCATAATAAGGATTAGTGTTGAAACTTTGTGCACACCACTCCATGTTTCAATAACTTGGTATAATTATTGATTTGTCTTAGTTGAGTTGTAAATTCAATAATCAATAGACTTGTTATTGAGGTTGATCACTTGAATTTAGGGGTTGAAGAAAGTGAGTGGGTTATCATATTTAAAGAGAGTTCTAAATAGAAAATCACTAGAATTAGGGAGAGACATGTAAATTCATAGGTTTGGGGTTCTTATAAGACTAACTATTCTAATTCGGAGTTGTGAATTTCCTTTCATGGGTTGAGTGCCCCCCAGACATAGGCGTGGTTTCTCACCGAACTGGGTTAAGAACCTCTTGTGTTATTTATTACTTTTTTGCTTCTTCATCTTGTATAAGCTAAAATATTTTCTCTTGGTATTTTAAACTGGTTTTTATTTTGGTATAGAATGTCCTAGACATTGTGTCTGACATCTGTTCTCATAAGTTGTTATTTGTAATAAACCAGTTGTTCACGTTGTCCCAAACATCTGCTCTAACATCTGTCCTCCTGAGAATAAAATTTCACTTGGCATCAGAGCAGACATCCTATTCTGTTTGAGTGAGTTTCAAGGTTCTTATTTTGTTCAAGATGGAGAATTCTAATGAAGGAGGGCCAGTTAATCAACCAGAGATTTGTTATGTTGCCAAGAAGCCTCCAAAGATTGTTGACAGTTATGAAGATTATGAAGACCAAGTAGAATGTAATTCTAAAGAAAATATCATGCTTGGCAAGATCTTTTGTAAAGTAATGAGAAAAATTGACAAGATATCTGGAAATAATGTCCCTAACAAGGTCAAGAACAATCAACATAAAAAAATGATGGTGAACAACAAAATCACTCTTTCTATAGGTGCAAAGAAATCCAATGTCTAAATTGCAAAAGATTTTGGACATATTCAAGTTGAATGCTCAAGATTTCTAAGGAAACAAAGAAGAATATCCAATGTCACTAATGATGAAGAAGGTGAATCTAATCAAGTAAACAATGTTGTAACCTTTAAAGACATCAAAGAGGTTATACATATTAGTGGACCATCAAATTCAAAGAAAATGTGTATTACTCCTTTCCAGAAAACAGAATGTGGAATGTCAGGTAACATGTATCAACATATTGTCAAACATGATTACCGGTACATTAACTGTGTCTTCTCCATCCCCTTGTACTATTGTAAGTTGTGTGGTAGTCAACCACACCCTCAAATTTTGTATCTTCGATGGAGTGAGAAGTTTCAAAGGCATCATCATAAAGTTTGGCATGGGAAGCGTAATATTCTTGTGTATATTTCTTATTTCTCCCACAAAGTGTTCTCTTGTGTGAAGATTGTGATTATGAAAGTAGCTAGAATAGACAATTGATAAGAGAAAGAAACTATGCAACAATTTGTGACAACCAAAGAGAAAGAAATTTATAAAGACAAAGATGGTGGGTGCCACTACAGAGTAGAATGTTGAAGGCCGTGTTTTCAGACATCATGTAAGACATGTCAGAATTTGAAACTAAAACTTGATACAGAAAGCTTGAGGGGTGTTACAGAGAAAGTTGTCATATGTGTACTGATCTCAATGCTCAAGAAGGAAGTAGTTATGAAGTTTTTCAGCTTGAGAAGCAAACCAAGATGTCATACAAGATGGTTCAACATCTTACTCATACTTTTGATTTACCACATATGGACTTTATGAGACTCAAGTAAGGAATTGTCATTGAAGGGAAAACTGATGGTCAGGTTGGAGGTCCTCCCAACATTGAACAACCAATAGCGGTTCAAAAGAAGAAGCTAAAGAATAATATGGATTATAACATTCCTTCTCATTCGTCTTGAGTTTTGATTGATAAAAAACATGATAGTGTGTTTGATGAAGCTAGAACTGGTGTTACTCCTAGTGTTTTGAAGTACATCTATAGGCTATATGTCAAGAAATATGTACCAAATATTGATCTTCATAACATTCCACTTGTTGATAAGTCTGATCTAGATTTTGGTGGAAATGTGATTGATGTCCACTCATGTATGGGCATGTAAGAAATCTTCATCTCATTCAAAATAATTTTGCCGAGGAGATCTAGGAAACCAATATGGGAATTCAATATGTTGACAAAGATGTGTTAGACATCATGTCCGACATGTTGATAGAGTCTATAATTCACAAGGAGAATGATGAAGTTACCCCTGAGAATAATTCTATGAGTGATGATGATTGTTTTCCTAAATATGTTGAGGTTGATATTGTTATAGTCAATGTTAGTGTTGTTAATAACCATGATCATGCAATTTAAGAAGTGAAGACATTGTGTGAAGATGTGATAAGTAAGGATGAAAGCTTACTTCTGGTTTGTGATATTAATAGCAAGGTGTATAGATTGTTTACCAAGAGCACACAATATATAAATGATATGAGTCCCTATAAAGATGAAAATTTTGGTCTTATTGATCTGGATATGGAGTAAGTTGTTACTGACAAATCAAGAAACACTGTGATATTTGCTGAAGAAGATGGAAGTTTTTGTGATGTTGAAATTTTTTATCCTATTGCTCATCTCAGAGCCATCAGATTGATACCAAGATTGTCTTGTATTTTGAAGCTCAAATTTTGTTAGATGCATGTGAAATTCACCTTCCTCAATAGGTACTTGAAGGTGGATGTCAATCAAGTTGTTAGTAAGCATGTCATTGACAAGAAAGGTGTCATCAAGAATAATGACTCTGTGGAAGTCAGTATGGATGCTAATATTGATATCAACAACATGGAGAATATAAAATTGGAAGACAATGAGAATATGATGATATTTCACATTTATGTTGAAGACTACATGTTGTGTAGGATGTCAGTTAAGATGTTAGAGCATTTTGTTCAACAAATGTTGTCTGATTTTGAGTTGAGAATTGTAGAAGATGTTATCTACTCTCTTGACTCTCAAGTGAAAAAAATGAATGACTACTTTTTTAATTTCTAAGGTATACATGCTGGAATTAGTTCCACTCAACTGTTGTGGAATAACCAAATACTCAAAGATGTCATCAAAGA